GTTTTAAGTATTTTCGAAAATTCAATTGAAATTGTTTTCAGCATCGAAAGTTTCTGAAAAATCCATTACACTTATGACAATTAAAAATTTGTTCTTTTTCTTTCTTTTTTTTCATTTTTTCTTTTCTCCTCTAGAAAATCAATATTATGAAATATTGTTATCTACTTATCAATCAAATACAATTTTCTTTATAATTGATATAAGCCGTAATTGATATTAATTCTTCTCATGTTCCTTGAAAATTTGATCAAACGATGAAATAATTATTCATTCATTGTATCGAATATTATATCGATTACTCGATTACAATTTCTTTTTTCTTTTAATTGCTAATGAATTTTCATTGACATTTCTCGAGATTCTTTTACTTCACATTAGGTATATTAAAAAAAAAAAAAAAAAAAAAAAAAAAAAATAATAATGGTATCATAGATATAAATTATAATAATACTCGAATGTAATATAATATATCAAAAGGGCAATGTCCCAAAAAAACTATCTGTATATTTCGGAGATCATGTTACCTTATATTCCGATAAGATGTTTAGTAAGAGTCTCAAGAGTAGTACTAGCGGAGTGAAAAAGATATCGGAGTCGATTGAAAGTTTTCGACGCGAGAAAAGTCCCGTCTGTGTTCGACGAATGTCCGTTTCGGTGCTCGCTGGAAATGGAGGGTACAACACGGAATAAATCCGCTCCGATAAAATTGAAGTACCCACCCACTCACCCTATCAGCAACCCCTACTCAACATCCTTGATGTGCCTCGTACAAAACTCGTTAACCTCCACGAGCATTTCCGCGTTTATCGACTCCCACGATATTCTGGGCTGTTCCACCACTTACTTGGGCGCCATTTTTAAACGTTATTTCTCTTCTTTCTAACTAATCCATTATCTTTACGTATAGTTGTAACGGGGGGAGGGCGAGGAGCCGGGGATATTTTCATTGTCAAAATATTACACATTTTTACAATGACTTTTACTTATTTTTCTTTTTTCTCTCTCTTTTCTTTTTGTTTTTTTTTTTAAACTTCAATAACGTCTAATCTATTCGTCGATGAATAATACTTTCTTAATTACTTATAGTACTTTCAATTTGTAATTTTCGTAATTTTCTATACGATATAATATACTTTTTAAATTAAATGAGAAACGATCGATTTATTTTTCCAGTTCATTTCACTAACGAAATCGTTTTACGAACGAAAGTATCATCAAAAAAGAAGAAAAAAGAAAAAAAAAATATATATATATATATATGTATAAAAATATTCGAGAAAACGTATTGTTAGAAATATAATATTATTTCAACGAGGTTACGTGAAAAAGTTGATTTAAAAACAAAAAGAGAAG